TTCTCTCTTCAATCTGTCCCTGTAAGCCTCTCCTGGTAAACCTGCCTCCTCCTCCTTCTCTCTGCTGCTCCACTCTCCTTCTCAACTCTTCTGCACTGCTCTCCACGAACTCTACTGTATCTTGTGCTATACTCGTCCTCCTATACTGTCTGTCTTTCCCTTAAGTAGCTCCCCTTCCCTCTCTCTTCTTGTGAGAGCTGGGCATATCCTATTCTGTCAAATCTTTCTCTGATTCGTCTTTTTTTTTTCTACCACTCAATTAGACATCACTTTCAAACATGGGTGCTTCCTTCTGCAAACTAACTTTACCTTCATTCTTTGGGATTAAAGATGTGTGCTAAGGGGATGTCTGAATTCCAGCCAGAGGGATTAAAGGTGTATGGGAAGGGCATGAGCCACACCCTCACTAGAAACATGCTCAAATATCTTGGACCATCTCTCAGGGGTCCACAAAAAATATTTGTAATCAGAAAGAAGTACTTGAAATTTTGTAGCCACCATCTAGAATTGTGTATGCTATATTTAACTCTTTCTTCTTTGAGGCAGGACTTTAGGGGACACTGTATTAGGAAACTAGATTAACTGTGCCATTATTGGAGCATCAATTTATAAAAAGATTTTCATGTGTTTGTGTGTGTGTGTGTATGTGTGTGTGTGCACACACGCTTGTGCACGCAGCAGTCAGTACTCTTTCTCACTTTGTTTTTGGGGCAGGGTCTCTCTTATTATTTCCGCTGCCTTTCTTCTGGGTAGTTTTCCTTGTCATGATTGCCTCCCATCCTGTAGTACTGCTGGGGCTGGAAATTCAGGTGGACATTTGCTATGGACTCCAGAACTGAGGCCACCAGGTTGCCCAGAAAGCAGTTTATCTGTTGAACTATCTCTCAGGCATTTGACGTCAACTTCTCCTGATAATTTTATCTGTAACCTCTGAGTAACTTTGTATCTTTGGCAATGCAAGACTGACTTTTTTTGGTATGGAAAGATCCTTCACTGGGGACAGGGAAGAATGAGACAGATCCTACTTTGTATCTTAGAGTGAGGTAGAACAAGAAGTCTTGCCACTTTCATTCAGGTTGTCCAGTTGGTTATCTTGTTTGCTGGTGTGTCTGTGAGGCAAGCAAAAGATACTGTCAACTCTGGAACAGTCCATTCATATCAGTAGATCTCAGGGGAAAGGTGTGTGACTCATTTTAATGACTTCCTCCCACTGTTCATGATTTTATTCTTGGTATCCACAAGAGAGAAATTAAAAAGCGAGTTGAGGGTCATCAAGCAACTGTCATTAATTTTTTTCCTCTATTTGCTCCCTGGCCTCCAAATACGAGGTTTGATAGTATGTACTTAAAAATACAACTCCAGAGGCTGGAGAGATGGCTCAGCGGTTAAGAGCACTGACTGCTCTTCCAGAGGTCATGAGTTCAATTCCCAGTAACCACATGGTGGCTCACAACCATCTGTAACAGGATCCGACACCTTCTTCTGGAATATCTGAAGAAAGTGGCAGTGTATTGAGTACTCACATAATACAATAAATAAATAAATAAATCTTTTTTTAAAAAAAGAAAAGAATACAATTCCAGCAGAGAGGCAGCGTCACACACCTTTAATCCTAGCACTTGGAAGGCAGAGGCAGGTGAATCTTTGTGAGTTTGAGGACAACCAGGGACAGGATGTTAAATTTTTAGTCTTCATTGACAGAGAGTGGCTTGAGGATTTAAGAAGTAGATTTGCTTAAAAAGAAAGTGTTTCACTGGGAATTCCCTCTGTAGGGTGTGGTCAGTGACCGTTATCTATAGATCTTCACTATCCATCTTATTTCTTTTTCTGTAACTGTGAAGAGACACCACAACCAAGGCAACCTATAGAAGAAAGCATCTGAGGGCTTGTGCACAGTTTCCGAGGGTGAGACTGTGACAGTCATAGTGGGAGCATGGCAGCAGGCATGGCACTGGAGCAGTAGCTGAGAGCTTATAGGTTGAGACAATAACCACAAGTCAGAGAATGAGGGAGCTAACTGGGAATGATGTGGGGTTTTTTAAACCTCAAAGCCCACTTCCAGTAATATACCTCCTCCAACAAGGCCACACCTCTTAGTCCTTCCCAAACAGTTCCACCTACTGCAGAAACAAGCATTCAAACATATGAGCCTATGTGGGCCATTCTCATTCATGCCACCATAGCATCAGTTCCTAACTTTTGTTAAAGTCTATTATATCCACCAACCTGGAGTCAGAGAAAGGTGACTACTTATGTAAGTGAGAACACACACTGCAATCCCTCGTACTGGTGCTTGAACCAAAGTATAATCAGTACAGAATTGTTTGAAAATACTGTGGGGTTTTTTGTTGTTGTTGTTTCCAGACAGGGTCTCACTATGTAGCTCTGGCTGTCCTTGAAGTCACTACTAATGCTAGGGTTATGGGATTAAAGGCATTCCCTACATATGGTTTAATATTATGTTTTTTTTTATTTTTTATTATTTTTTTAAAGATTTATTTATTTATTTTATTATGAGTACACTGTAGCTGTCTTTGGACACACCAGAATAGGGGATCCAATCTCACTATGGATGGTTGTGAGCCACCATGTGGTTGCTGGGATTTGAACTCGGGACCTCTGGAAGAGCAGTCAGTGCTCTTAACCGCTGAGCCAACTCTCCAGCCCAATATTATGTTTTTTAAAGATAAAAAAAAAATGTGGCCATGTATGGTAGTAAATATGTCTTAAATCCTTGCACTCAGGAGGCAGAGGTAGGCAGGGCTCTGTGAGTTGGAGGGCAGCCTAGTCTACAAAGTGAGTTCCAGGACAGCCAGGGTTCTCTTATACAGAGAAACCCCACTTGGAAAAACAAAATAACAACAATAACAACAAAATAAATGTGTATATATGTTTGTTGGTTTATTTTTATTTTATCTTTTTTGGCTATTTTATTGGGTTCTTATACCTCTATCTCTGTTCCAATTCCCGAACACTAGGTAGGAGAGAAAGAGGATTAGAAGGTAAAGGGGGTATAGAACTTTTTAGACTACTTTCTGCTGATTAGGGATGCCTTGTTTCCTGGGGTAAGTACAATCTTGGTCATCAGAATATCCGGCAAACCTGCAATAACAAATACAGCTGCAGGACCAACCAGCAGAGGCAAGGGTAGCACCAGCTGTCACAAGCAGGCCCTCTCTGGGCTCTCTCACAATTAAACTGTCAGCAGATGGCAAAGATCATGTCCCTGGTAGTACACCAGTCAAATCATAATCACCTGCTGTGAAGCAGCCTCTCATCCCATACTTGGGATTAAAGCAACACGATATTCACATACCATAACTGGGTTTTTACAGAAACCAAAACTCTCATTACCTATGTCTCTATGTGGTACATGTAAACGAGAATGCAGACACCCACAGAGGCCTAAGAATATTGGTCCCTCCGGAGCTGCAGTCACAGGATGTTTTGATTTGTGTCTGTGAACCAAACTCAGGTCCACTGGAAGAGCAGCAAGCGCTCAACTGTTGAGTCCTCTCTCTTACTCCTAATGCTATGTTTGGAGAATTAAGCTGCCCTAACAGAGAGGAATAGAAGATACTCAGAGGTGACCAAGTGGTTGAGAGAATTCTAGAACAACTGCCCAATGGCATCAAAGACATTTTATTATTACTATTATTTTGAAATTTATAAAGTACAAGATAGACCTAGCACTCAGTCCATCATTTTTGTCAATAAAATAGAACACTGTCATCTATCCTAACTTAAAAAAAAAAAAACTTAAAATTCTACACCTGACTTATGTCCTGGCTTTAGATTGTATGCCATCTGAAAACCATTCTCTCAAATCTGTTCTCTCCTAGGTTGACTATAAGACTATAAGTAGTCTTTCAGCCCTGTCAGAAATCCAAGAATGACCAACATTATCTGATGATATAGAAAGCCTAACACAGCTTCCAGAACTGAGACAAGTTGTGAAGACAGCTGTCTACCTATACAGCCCCAGTAGGTCAGGAAGTTAGAGCATCTGTCTTCAGCCCATTGAAGACATTCTAACCTTCGTCACTTTTTCTCATCCTCAATTCCCCTACCCAAATTCTGCAGAACAGCGGCAAGCATGCTGTCCCAGCTACGCTTATCCTGGGAAGTTAGGGAAAGGAGGACCTACAGGCTAAAGCTGTAACAAAGGTGGAACCTACAGTTATGTCTCCAAATTTATTAAAGGAAGGGGAGAATAGTGGGGGGAAAAACTTTCCAGAATCCCCAACTTAAGAAAATGCTATGCTCCCAGTTAGCTATTAACTCTTTTGACACCACTTCCTAGCCCCAATTTATTATGGAATAGACAATGGGATTCTGTGTACTGTTCAGGACAGACATCTCTTGACAGCAAGAGCCACTGAACTAGTCTGAGCTCTTCCACAGTACATGCTTGGGTTTTGTAATAAAATGTCCTTCCTTGGTCCATGTGAACTAACCCAGGCGCAATGCTTGTCTGTTTATATTTTGTTTACTCAAACAAACAAACAAACAAACTCAAACCAAACTCTGACATCATTTTCTTTGTTTTTAATCTTTCCCATAGTCCTACACTGATTTTTTCCAAATGAGTTATATTGACATTAGCAATTAGTATTTATCAACTAATTACTGGCTGAGCACTGGTAATAGGATTTGTGTACAAACTCATCCTTTATGGACTCCTCTTCGTACTTACGTCCAAGAAAACCTTGAGGACTCTATGTGTTACATTTATTTTCTCATAGCGTTTAGGACAAAAAAAAAGGAATATAATTAATGTATTCAGAACTGACTTAAGTTGTATAAATGATAAATTCATCTAGAATAATTTAAGCTAATTACTTGTCAGCTTATGACCCAAAACCATACTGCCTGGGTAATGGACCTCATTAGTAAACATCTACTCTTTTTTTAAGTTTTTATTTATTTTTATTAAAGACATACATGACCATGTCAGACACTCTTTATCAGGCTGTATTCATTAAACACTGCAATGCCACTTTGCTTAAATTTTTTATTAATACTTCCTTTTCATAGCTCTCCCCCCCAAAATATTACAGATTATTCAGCAAAACATCTAAAACAAAACATCACCACTACAGAAAGAGCCAGTGTGTAGACTTTATTACATAGGCACATTCTTTTTAAAGTTAACTGGTTTTACATAAAATGAGCCACAATAGTGCAAGAAGTTACACTGAGTGAGGATGAATGACAAATGACAGGAAATACGAGCCTCAGAACTGTCAAGGCATCCACTGGCTCCTAGGTTCAACCACTGACACACTGAAATTCATATGGACCTTACACAAATGGAGGGTGAGGAGGGATGATCCTCTGTCTCAAACACTGATCCTGATTCACCTTCTGAATATGGCAAAGGGTTGTCCAGTTTCTGTTGGTAAGTGACCATAAAAGATAAACAGATGCTGGCTGAAGGGGAGAGGGATTCGTGGCACTCATGCAGCATCCTTGGAGACCCTTAAATCCAACAGGCTGCTGTTGGGAGCTAGGGGTTCGTCTGTGTTCACAGGACTGTTGCTGTTGAGCCTCCCTATAAGCACACGGGCATGAGCAATGGTGGTGCTTAAGGCTTTAGCCACAGTGTGGCTAGTGTCCACAGTGAGAACTGGGGTTTCATTTGAGGCAGAACATGGGAATGAACCAGGAAAGGATGAAGGAACTCCATCTGACCAGTTAGAACTGATCTAGTCTATCTGAGTAAGTGTAAGCCCCCCCAAATAAACTAAAAGCATATTCAAACACACCACACAGAGAAGCTATTAAGAAAAAAAATAAGTACATTTTTATGTACAGTAACTGGCCTTTTTTCTCATTTGGCTTTGCTATAATTGCAGATGGCTCCAGATTAGTTTCTGTTTCCCCCTCTGTCCTATGGTCTTTCTCATGAAAGACTATCTCTATAGATCCCAGACCAATACAGCATCCTACAACCCAACACCTTTAACTTGGAGAGTTGGACCTTCATTGAGGTATTCACACCTCAGTATCCACTTGGGAGACTGCCATTTGACCTTCATATTCAACTGGTATTCTGAAGTCAGCAGCAGACCAGAGGATTGGGGGCTTCTGTTCATTTCCATCATCTGAGCAGTGGGAAGGGGGATTGGAGGGGAGCTGAGCAGGAGAAAGATAAACTTGCTGGTCTCCTCCACTTTCCTATTTTAAACTTCTTGGTTCTTGAACGTAAGAATCATATTGACACGGAATATCAACAAAACGTGGCAGGAAAGGATATTTTGTGAAACAACCCATAAAACCATTGCTGGGAAAACAGACAACCTGAAGGAAAAAAAAGCACAGTGCTCTCTCTCTTGTCTCTGGAAACTAAGACAGGTCAGTCAGCAATAGTAACTGACTCCATGTTCCCTTAAACAGTCACAGAAGCTGTCACAGCATGACTACTAACAGCTATCTTCAACATCTTAGTGTGAGGTCTCTTGGCCCTCACAGGGAAGCTGGCTGCTAGCAGTACCTTAAACAGCACTTGAGCAATCCTGGCAGAGCAGAAGACCTCTGCTGTCTGCCGCTGCGATGCCCCCTTCTTTCCTATAGCTTCTTACTTTAAGAGACAGCCTCCAGTCCAGGTTATATTAAATTTTGGTGTCCAATGCTGGATATTTTCCAACTCCTTCCATACTGAAGTTATATTTTCTTTAGTCTGTTGTTTAGTAGCTTTTCATTATGTCCAGTTTTTATTTGCACCTTTCCAGGTTTTGCAGAACATAGTACTACTGACATTTTCTATCTTTATGGCTTGGCATTTGCAAGTTGATATATGCATGCTCCCCCCAAACTCCCTTTTAACAGTACAGGACTGGACTTTCATTAGCAAATCGGCTAAGGCACACTAGAAGAAATAGAAAACTCCCATGCCTTTGGTTAGGCAGCCATAAGGATATCACTAACACATGCATTTGTTCCTACACTTAAGATTTGCCCTCCTGTATCTCCTTCACTCTTAATCCCCTTAATACACAATCACTAATGAGACTATCTAAAGCCAATCTCATTTCCAAAGAGCAGAATTAAAATGTGGTGATTTGTAAGGAATTGGCAAAGCCACACTGGTCATGTTTAGAAAACATCCATCAGAACCATAGAGGCAATATACTGACCAATTTTATATAAAATGCTGTCATGGTAGTGGTCGTGAAGTGTTAACACAAGATTCATTTACTAGATGGTATATTTTTACTTAGTTGTTTGTTAATTCTGATTGGATTCTCTATCACAGTCTAATCTTATCACAATCTCAACTTCAGACGTGCTAGGATTAATTTGAGCCAACCATTCGTACAAGAGATAAATTTACCACCTTTTTACCAGGGGAATTTATCAAAGTATGTTGGATGGTAGTGCTTCCTACTCATAGCAATTAATTCCTAAGACTTTTAAGGCAGAAAAAAAACCCCTCATTTTCTTGTTTTTCTACCCTTAAATTGATGACAAAAATATAAATCAGCTTCAAAATCATGATTTTACCTGTGAGCCCCAGCATTGGTCCGTGGTTAAGGGAGGACAAAGACCTGACCCAGCAGGACAGGCTGCACACTCCATCAGATGTGAGGGCATCTTCCACGAGTCACTGTCTCGATCGAGGCAGAGGCTCACAGGTCTTTTTGACTGGCAGCAATAAAACTGCATCAATAGTGTAACTGTCAATAGTACCTGGGACTCCGCAACTCTCGGTGTAGAGTAGAAGTGTTTCTTGATATGAATAAGTGACACTGTAGGTCAGACTCAGCAGCACATTAAGTGCCACCATCCTGACACTTGGATGACACTGGAGGCAGGAATCAAAGCAGAGCAAAATCATTATTTAAGTCTTCCAGAAAATAAATGCGGCTTGCTAGCTGGAAGCAGAGGATCAGTAGTCTCTGAGTCAAAGTGTCAATAATTTCCATTGATTTAATGAGTGTCTTTGATTTAGAGGTATTTAGAGTGGCTGAGCCCTGCTGTGGCTCATACTTGTCGCAGGCATTTGAATCACAATGAATAAAATAGACTCTTGCTCATCATCGTGTGTCACGTCTCAGGAACAGAGCTTCTAGGGATATAGACTCCTGATTCCAACTATGTTTCTACACAGAGATTAGTCTCACTTCAAATAAGAAGTCTTTTAAATTAAGGAACACTCGTGACAATAAGCCCTCACAGTAAACATGGGGAGGGCTCGGGTAGATGAGGAAGCAGGCCTAAAAGGCAGTCCAGAGAGCAAGGAAGAAATGGCTAAGTTTTCCTAAGGAATACCTAGTACTATGTATGTCAACAAGAGGGGCCTCAGGGATCTGTCCTTTAAATATCTGCCACTCCTTTCTGTTGTTTCTGTGGCACTGGGGGTTGAACCCAGGACCTCGTGCATGCTAGGCAAGTTCTCTACCACTGAGCTACACAACCAGACCTCTTGTCTGATATATTAGAATGAGTATTTATTTTTGTGTCCTGTTTCACGGTTAAGTTGAAATAGAAGCCCTAGACTCAAAAATAGTTTTTGATACTATGTGACAACTAATATGTTCTAATTGTATTGGTAAAAACCAATCCACTTTTCATATTTTTATGTTATTGATAACACAGATTTGGGTTTTTTTTTTTTGTAACCACGGAAAAATAAAAATCAAGGACCGCTGTGGCAAGCGCACATTCTGCAAAATCAAAAGAGCAATTTGCCTAACTACGTTTTTTAGGTAGGTTATCAGTAAGCCGCGAACTACATGTCAACTCCCTACATATTATCCATAATGACTTTAAGGAGAGTAGAGGAGGGCCAAATTTGATGGAACCAAGAGGGTAGTATATACTTAAAAAGTCCAGGTAAAGCACCAAGGCAGGAAGAAAACCAAGGGGGTGGCAGGGACAAGACAACACAGGTGTTGTGCATGTTAGCAGCCCAGGCGGGCCCCTGACATGCTGCTAAGCCAGGGATGACCGGCACCCATCCTGCCAACTCCCCAGGCCGTTGGTCATCTGAGACTTTCAAGACCTTTAGCCCTACAGTGGACATGACATGGGCTTTTTGACCAAGTTCTTCTTGAGAACTCCACCGCCCTCTAACAGCACCAAACAAACAAACAAACAAACAAACACAGAGGAAAGACTGTCTGGAGGTAGACGGCCTCATTCCTATCAAGACTGTTTAAAAAAGATCTTTCCTGTCATCTTACATGACAGTCTCTTCTGTCGGACCTGGGAAAAGTGGCCTTTGGGTGTTTGCTGCAGCAGGAAATTTTACTTGACCCTTTCTTGTTTAGAATACTTCCTTCCTAGAAGATTCTTATATTGAGCAAACATCTGTCATCTGTAAAGTTCTCTTCTGTTCCCATTTCTTTTTGCCTTTGAGGTTATGCAAAACAAAGCTAACTCCTCTCTATTTTTATAGCTCAGCAGAAACCTTCAGTTGGCTATTGGCCATGACTTTGTTTCCCAGCTTCCCTGCACGCCTTTCCCAGCTATGCCCTCTGTTCTGCAGGAGAGCTGCCCCCCTGATCCTTACATAACCAGGATCTTTACAACCCTGGTCACCTGCCTGTGCATGCGGTCAACTTATTAATGTCTCCCCTAGCTATACTTGAATGTAATCTTCCATTCAGGCATGTGCTGGCCAATGCGTCATGCCCAGCTGTTAAAGACCTACCACCACAGATGGATGGCATTAGCTTTGTGAAGAGCCGTGACCCATTCCTGGTTCAAAACTGAACTCAAGAAAACATTTCTTTATGGACTGCTATAATCTCAAGTCTCCCTAGTTCTCATCAACACACATACACACACACACACACACACCCCTCTGTGCTAAAATTTGAAAAATTCAAAATACAGGTCTTCTCATCTAGGCCTAAGCACCTTGTTCTTTTCAATCTAATGCTTAGAGAATTAAACACATGGTTCAAAACACTGCAGTGATTTCTACTTAAGTCAGTACATAGCTCACTAAATATGAGCTGGAAAAAAAAAACAAAACTTGTATCACTTAGTCTCAAACTGCAGGTATTTTCCATTTATTCCCCAAGTCTGATAAAATATGCATTCTGTCCGCTCACTTGTTTCTTCATGAGAGAATTTACCAGAGTAAAAATAAGCAGGGGGCGGGGTAGGAACACGGAAGGGAAAAGGAGGCAGCTTGAGTCTTGGAATCATGGTTTCATGTTCATGACACTGGGAGACTGGCTCTCCCCAGCATACGCTGGAGCCTTCTGCCTTTTTGTTTCATTTTGGTTTTGGTTTTTCAAGACAGGATTTCTCTCTGCAGCCCTGGCTGTCCTGGAACTCACTCTGTAGGCCAGGCTGACCTGGAACTCAGAGAGTCACTTGCCTCTGCCTTCCAAGTGCTGGGATTAAAGGTGTGCGCTATTACCACCTGGTGTCTTTTGAACTTTCACAATACTGTAACTACCAACCTTGGAATTTGGGCTAAAGCTCATTCAAACTCAGCTTTTACAAAGATCGTCTTAGCTTAAATTTACTCTAAATTTTGAGGGAAGAGATGTGTAACAGTCATTGTGTATGAGGTATAAAAAGAACTTCCAGGTGTCTCTTCTACACACATAGAATTACAGCCATGTGTTAAAAGTGACCAGTGAGAATCATATTTTATGATTGAAGCTGTCTTCCAAACTGAATATAAGCTTACATTTAATGCCACTTTTCCTTCAAAGGAAGAAAAATAAGGGCGTTTGTTTGTTTGTTTTTTTCCCAACAGACTGTGAATCCAATTCAGTCCATTTGTAGAATTAAGCTCTAAAATCTAAATTTGAAAATACCGGATAGGGCTTTTGCCATTGTGCACCATAATTTAAGATAGCAAATGGAAGAGAAGTTGAAAGAGTATTCTGATCTTGAACAATCCAGAATCAGAAGGGAAACATTTGGATAACCTCTGCTGCAGAATGCCAACATGGAGGCATCCGGAAAAGCAGGCCCAAAGAACTGGCTTTGGAATTCTTTGGAACTTTCACAGAGGGAGCAACAGAGACGGATGCTTAATACATTTCCAATGCCTTTTTTTTTTCCAGAAACTTACAAGTGACATGTGAGTCCTGGGGGCAAATTGTGCCAACACTGATGCTGGAGGTTCTTTTTGAGTCTCTGATCGTCACCACAGAGCACACACAGTGCCATGATACAAGCAGAAAAGAGACAAGGAGGCCCAATGGATAGTAAACTCCAGAAGCCAGGAGGGCCCGTGCTTCAGGTACGCTCAGTGTCAAGGAGCCAACTGAAGGCAGCTTCCTCAGCATTTCCTGTGGCCACAGAGAATGACACACAGGAAACAGAGGCAGGCTGCCCCCAACATGGAGCAGCCACAGCAGGTGTTGGCTTAAACTTGAGTTGTTCCGGAAGATGCCTGGTTGTGAGTTAGCATTTCTCAGTTCCTTGGGGTGGGGGGCACTGTCACTGAACCCCACATTCCTTTGGGTTTTCCAAGTCCTCTCCCTCAAAGTCTGGCTTCAAACTCTTTTTTTGTTCAATTTCCACCTGCCAAAATAAAAGATGGAGACAATATCAGGGCTGAGAGGAAGGGAGAGAAGCACAATACAAACAAGCCAAATGAAACTCCAGTGGACCCTTGGAATTGCCTGGAGTTTTGTGGATGTTCTGGGCAGCTGCCACAGTGGGGCCCCTAGTCCTGAGTATTCCAGGATCCCCGTGGAGGTGTGGCATCCCCTCTTCTTCATGGTTCATCTGGAAAATTCTTAATTCATTCTTTGTCTCTCAGAGTTGCTCAAATATTACCTTTGCTGTCCACTCGGGAGGGAGACCGAGTTTCCTCTGAATATATCCGCTGTCCCTGCCTCCACTACTCCATAGGCTCGAGGGATAAGAGCAAGATCTAGTTGAGTTTATCCAATGGTGTGGGATTCCAATAGGCAACTGACAACGGTTGTGACTGATAGAATGGCTAATCCCTTTGTTGTTGACCACTTACGCTCCTCCAATTCCTTCATTTAAAAAGAAAAGTCGGCCTGGTGGTGGTGGCGCACGGGCTCGGGAGGCAGAGGCAGGCGGATTTCTGAGGCCAGCCTGGTCTACAGAGTGAGTTTTAGGATAGCCAGGGATACACAGAGAAACCCTGTCTGGAAAAACAAAACAACAACAACAACAAAAAAAACCAACCAACCAACCAAACAAACAAAAAAAAACAAAAAAAAAAAGTCTCTAAGCTAATAAGTATTGGAACATTTATTGTTCCATTCTATCTCCTATAAAATACTGTCAAGAAATTGCTCTTTGGGCTGGAGAGATGGCTCAGTAGTTAAGAGTTAAGACTGCTCTCCCACAGGTCCTGAGTTCAATTCCCAGCAATCACATGGTGACTCATAGCCATCTGTAATGGAATCTGATGCCCTCCCTCTTCTGGTGTGTCTGAAGACAGCTACAGTATACTCATATAAATAAAGTAAATAAATCTTAAAAAAACAAAAAGAAGTTGTTCTTTGAAAGTAACATGGCTTAAGCTAGAGAGATGGCTCAGGGGTTAAGAGTATTCACTGGCTGCTCTTCTGGAGGGCCTGGGTTCAATCCCAGCACCTGCATGGTGGCACACCACTGTCTGTGACTCCAGTCTCAGGATCTTCTCAGTCACTCCATGCATGTGATACACAGACATACATACAGACAAAATACTCACACACGTTAAATAAATCAATAAATTAATAAATAAATAAATAAAATCTTTTCAAAGAGTAAGAGGCCCTAACTAAAGCTTCTGGTAAGTTAGGAAAGGACTCCTTTGCACTCAGGAATCTCATAACTTGGGCTGCTTCTCAGTACTGTACTGAAGGTAAGCTTCTCCATTTGAAGGCAACAACTGAAGATAGCTTTCCCCATGGTGGTGGGGACCTGCTAGTTTTTCCCTGGCCACAAGATGGGGCATTCGTTCTTCCTGGTAGTTAAACAGTTTTAGATAATACAACTAGAAAAATATTTAAAGGAATACTAAATTATATACATCTGTGTGACTCATTACACGTAGGAAATGATCAAACGACTTTGCAAAATCTTTGGCCAATACCTTTCTCTTCCCTCTTTGAAACTTGATCTACCAAGTGTCTACCTCTGCAGGGCAGTATCATTTTGATGTGTTGTAAGCCCTGGTTTTACAGTGATCTGCCTATAATTTGAGCACTGAAGCTGGACTGACCTACAGGGGGAGAGCCTGTCTTCAAACACTCCTGGTCTTGCCCAAGAAAACCAGCTCTCCAGCTTTGACTGCACGCCCCTTCTCCCCGACCTCCCCCATACCCCCAGTCTCAATCCCATTACCACTGTGAAAGGGCTTGGCTTTTAGGTTTGCACTCTTACAGCCCAGCGCCTCTGCTGTGTTCTGATACACAACTCCTGTAGACGAAATATTTCCTTCAGCTTATCATGTTCCCATTACCTGCCCCCCCCCCACACACACATTTCCAAGATCACTCCAAAACAGGAATCTTGTCACAGATGAGGAACAAGTCTCGCTTGGCCCCCACTGTTCTTTGTGTTATTATTCATAACGCTAGGTATTACACTCTCATCAGCCCCTTATTTTATTTTTCAGAGTCTCTCTCTTACCCACAAGAGATTATTTCATAAAACTCAGAGCAGATTCATCCACAGCTATGAATGTAAAGCGCCTTGCTATAAGAAGCATTTGCTGGAAGGAATTGGGGGAGGGGTGGGGCAAACAAATGGACTTGGGAACCTCAGCCCGAAGCCCTCCTGAGGCTACCTTGTAGCTGTAGTGTGCAGAATAATTGACCCACTTCCTGACATCAGCCTTGTCTTCCACAGAGATGGATCTCACAGCTGCTTTGGAGGCAGAAGTCGTGGGCATGCTGAACTCGACGTTTACATAATTGGCAAATCTGGAAGGCACTTCCCGGTCAGAGCCAAGTTCAAGGTGGCAAAAGAAACAGTGTGGGTGGCCAGAAGCTATAACGGAAGAAAAGCATCCAGAGGTTAAGTTCTTTGTGGAAGAAATGAAAAAGGGGCTAAAGAGCCGGGCTGATAACAATGAAGGACTGCAGGCTCTGCATGTGGCCTTGCTGAGGGTCCAATGACGAGTTTCCCCAGGCAGACAGCAGGCTCTGTGCCTCAGACCCTTTCATCCAGTGCCTCGTGATAACTACGGCCTGGAATACCAGCATAAAACCCACAGTCTGTGGAGGATGGAGAGATGGCTCAGTGGTTAAGAGCAATGGCTGTTCTTCCAGGGGACCTAGTTTCAGTTCTGAGCACCCACATGGCAGTTCACAATTACTGTAACTCCAGTTCCGGGGGAGCTGACACCTTCACACAGACACATATGCCGGCCAAAACACCAATGCACACAAAGTAGAAGATAAATAAATAAAGAGAAATACCAAGGTGATTAAACATTATTTGTAAAAATGAAAACAAACAAACAAGCAAACAGAAAAAAACCCACAGTGTGAGAAACAGGCTTTTATGACTGTTTAGGTCCAAGGGCTGTGTGGACTCAGTGCAAACACTAAGAAAGAGGCTTGAGAGTGGACGAATGAGCAGCTGAGATTAGATTAGCACTTGGCACCTAATAAAACACCAGCGACAGCCGCCTGGAGCAAACTGCTTTCCTTTACAAGATGGATTCTCCTAATAGCGTTTTATATTTTCAGAGATGCCTCGGGCATGTTTCTGTGGGTGGGTGATGTATGAAAATGACAGACTTATAGATGGCACACATGAAACTGGCGGACACAGTGCACTGGACCAATGATTGCATCTGTCGAACCACTGCCTTAAGGTGGCTGAGGGTTCTGGGGGTGAAGCATTATGGATCATAGCATAGTGTGTTAGAGCCAGGATTTCGGACTGTTACCCCTTTGCTGAGTCATAATTTCACGGTCCCCAACCATGGAGACCAGGTTGCAGGACGACAGTGAGGAGACGAGAAGCGGCAGATAAACTGTGGCGTGGCTCTGACTGATGGTATAACTCTTCCCTGCCTCTCCGAGTCAACAATTTCAATTTCCTTTATTGCTCTGGGCAGGATTTTTCAATCTCGGAGAATCAGGAGACACACACCCTCTCTCCAAGGAAATCACTCCAGAGTGAGGTATTTGTTTTTCACAGATGTAACATAATTTAATGGTTATTTCTAAAGAGTAAGGCTAGGATATTTAACCAAAAAATTTGCACTGGCTTTTAGGAAAGGAACCGAAAATTTATTTTATATATACATATATAAAATAAAGAGAACTTGATGGTATCTGAAAACACATCTGTTCAATCTATTGTTTTGGGTGCCACAGACTAATTACAGACTGTCATTTGTCATCGCTACTAAAACTGTGCTTCACACTTGTTCTGAGTGAGCTAGGTACTAATAACTCTATCTCATAAATGAGAAAAATTAGATTTCTCTGGCAGGGTTAAGTCAATTGCGTGAGGTCACACCACCATTAAGCAGCGGCGCTCAGAATTCAGATCTCACTGACTCCAAACCATGTCCTACACACTTGGTACGCTGCTATGGAGTCAGTTCACTACAGTGTGGAAGGCCTCTCAACTCAGCAGGGAACTGAACATTTGTTTTTTTTCTAATTAGCTTTCTTTGACATTTCTGGAATATTGAGAAATGGTTCCTCTCTTTAAAAGGTGACTTCCTTTTCTAATTGTCTCAGAGCGTACTCAGTAGAACTCTGAAAGCTAAATCTTGTCCTAGATTCCTAGCTTCAGTTATTGTGTGAATGTGGTAGACAGTTGGGGCAAAACCATTTTAAAACTCAAATAGTTCAATTCATGGTTATAAAAAAAGCACATCTATATGCTAATGGATCTTTCCTGATGAAATTTAGCATTAAAATTCAGATTGACATGACCAGGCAGTGGTGTAGCACTCCTTTAATCCCAGTAAGAAATTAACAGCTGGCACATCTTTAATCCCAGCACTTAAGAGGCTGAGATGGGGATCTCTGAGTTCGAAGACAGCCTGGGCTACAGAGTTCCAGGACAACTGGGGCTGCACAGTGAAATTCTGTCTTGTTCACCTCAACCCCCAAAGATTCTAGTAAAGTAATAATGAGTGTAATTCACAAGCAGCCTGTCACTTGGCCTCAGTCTCCTGAGCATTCTCTGCTGGGAAGCATATCCAGTGGGAAGCATGGTCCAGTGCTGTATATCTGTTTGCGGTCTTTTTGCCCTCTGTCCATGGACTGTTTCTTCTGGTTAACAAGCCTTTCTTCTCTCTCCTTTAGGACAATAATCCTCTCCGGCACTATCTGCCATCTTGATTTCTCTGGTCACTTGTCAACTTCAGCCAAGTTGCCCAAGGACCAAAGATGATGACAAAAAAATGTCTCTGTGGCTGTGCCGAGGAGACAACTATTAGTTTCTGTGACTAGTGCTGTTTTGGAGCTATCTTCTCTGATGTCTGATGGTTAACCTTTTCTCGGTTCCCTGACTACTCACACCAAAGACCCTCTACTCCCAGTGCATTTAAGGTCAGTCCTAATTAAGATCCTCCACCTGGCACTGTTGAGTATTTTAAGTCACTTTGAGATTATTTGCACACATCGGGAAACTACACATCTTTGTTTCCAGGGTGCAGATTATTTGAGGCGTGTATCTATCCGACTTCATCTATAAAGAGGATCTGTGGTATCAAGAAGAGACCCTTGTATGTGCTTTTGTGACTTCAGGTGAGTAATGTCATCCATCAGAGCTTAGTCTCTCATGTAAAGGTCCCAGCTTGAAAGCCCAGTCCTTTCACAGTTCTCTCTTCCCCATGGCTTTTGTGCCACAGGAGAATTCAGGGCTTCTTAATTCCATTGTCAAGTGAGATGGACCCCAGTGGCTGAGGCGACAAGTGTAAGTACCAGGGGAACCCAGTGCTGAGCACGGGAGAAAGGAGAGAGGAGGCACAGGGTGGAAGACTGTTTTAAAACCCGAGTAGAAGCAGGGGGTGGCCGCCCCAGCCTCCAGCACAGAGGTCTGATTGTCTCTTCAGCTTGCATGGCCACACCCAGTGTCTGACACAGAATGCAGGGTGTTTGCCTACTCCCCCGGGTAGCCTCGGGAGTTGATTAGACTTCTTGGTCTCTTGCTATCTCATCAAATTCCATTTAAGATATGAGAATGCAAGCACTCTACACTTGTAGCAGAACACCTTGAACACACAGCAATAGTTTAGCAGTGGCAGTTTCAAGCCAGTGGGCTTTTTTTTTTTTTCCTTTTTTCTCTGACTAGCTAATCTACTCTCCTTAACAGATGGGCATGGTTTATTGCAGACAAGAGAAGTGGTTTAAGGGCTTGTGGGATCACAGGCTTTTTGTGGACCACTGAGGTCACTTTGACATACTCCAAAAATAAAGCTGTTACTGCTGCCTTGTTTTGTCAGTCAAGAAGTCTTGCTAGGAACTGCCTTCCAGGCTCCCCCAGACAAAGTAGCACAGTCTCTGGCTGTGAGCAGGACAGCTAGGCTGGGAAGTTTGTTTAAATCAGACACTCCTTTCTTTACTTTCTGTCTGCTTTCTTTACTTTTCTATCTTCAGCCCTTTGGACCCTGATATCCTGGATATTTAATCTCTTTTCCATCATGAATCCCAAAACCAAACTCTGTACCAGAGATATTATGACTGACAGTGGCTGGTTGCAGAAGGCTCAGTTCTCACATACACTGTGTATATATGACTGGATATACACTGGCTCTCTCACCTTCATTAAGGGGATCGTCAGAAAGACTACTGTTCAGAACCTACACATTCTGGGATCTGGGAATGAACTGCCTCAAGTACCTTAGCTAATACTTTAATGAGTTCCAGAAGAACAAAACTTCAACAGACCTTGTTGATTGATGGTTAAAGAAGTAAACTGCTTACACAGGGACCTGGATGTGATGTCAGGTAAAAGAGCCAGGTGTGGTGGTGCCTGCAGATAATCCCAGTGCTGGGGATGGATGGGCTGGAGACATGGCTCAGAGGCTGAATGCACTGGCTGCTCTTGCAGAGAACCTGGATTTTATCCCTACCACTTGCATGGTGAGTCACAAGCTTCTGTAATTTCAGTTCCATGGGATCTGAAACCTTCTTCTGGCCTCTGCAGGCAATGCATGCACATGGTACACAGGCATACACTCAGCCCCAAAGCCCATATATAAAATAGTAAGACAATTAAAATAACAAAACACGCAAATCACCAGGAGGGGAACAAAGACAGGCAGATCACTGGGCAGCCAATCGAGGTGAACTGGCAAACTGAGTTCCAGGCCAATGACAGAATCTTTCTCCCAAACTGGGTGGCCAGGGTGGCCCTAGGAATGACATCTGATGATAGTCTCCAGCCTCTACACATATGTGCGTGCACACACACAATTCAGAAGCTGCTCTGGACAACTATTTAGCTACTCAGCTGAGGAGTATAATGAATACACTATGGAAGAACGGTAAGGCCGGGAACAGATGACATATACTAGGTCATCTTGGTTATTACTATATAAGGACTTTTCTAGTCTCTGTTTCTCTTCTCCCTATCACCACCACTTCCACCATACAACATAACCAAATGTTACACACAGGCCTATGAGGCTATAGAAGGCTGACCCCACCTCTTAAGCAAGCTCAGTGGTTGTATCCAGAGACGAGAATCCCTACCTACCTGAGTTCTTGTCTGGCAGCCGGTTTATCCTCCACACAATGGAGTTGAAGGCGTGCTCATACTTGGCCGTTCCTAGAGTTACTCTCATGACGGGCTCAGAGCCAGAGACACCAGCAGAGCCAAAGCTTGCCCCCCGGTTCACTTTGGCTTTCAAAGACTTTTCCCCTAGAACGCTTTCCCTGCGGAAGTTTTTCACCCACTCACTGGGCACTGGGTAGCGGACCATTACGTTCTCACAGGGGACCTGAGTGAGAGGGTCACGGTTAGAAGAGAAGCCGGGAGACATCCTCAGCCAGCTCTGCACCTCCACTTCTGCCCCGTTAATGCTCGCCGCTGTCCTGAGTGTGAAGGGCAAGGTCTTCTCAGCAAATACTGTCCTAAACCTCATCAGCTCAAACCTGCACGCATCCAAAGGGTTGAACAGAATAACCCGGGAACTGTTAAACACGTCCTCGTCCACGCACCCGTGGAAGCGGCATTCGTGGAGCTTGATCCACTTTGTAGTGGTGGTGGGCATGATGTCCTGCCGGGAGACGATTTCGTTCCCTTTGATAAGGATGTCATTGAGGCCCAAGCGGCACTCGGCGAGCCCAGAGAGGAAACTCAGTATGTGGATCCGTGTCAAAACATGGTGCTGCAGAATCTGGTTGTCTCCTTTGCTTACTGTGCCAGAGAACTCATCTCTGACGTCCACCGTAATCTCCTCTTCGAGGTAGTTTAAGCCAACCGTGCTCAGGTCCATTGACAGCACTGGCAAATCCATGAGACGATCCTGAACCGCACGGATGAAGCTCAGGAAGTCGTTGTAGTTGGTGGTGCCCAGCTTAATTACCTGTTCCCGTTCCGCTGCGTGGGCCACCGCAGGTTTGGGCTGGTATTTCTTCTTCTCCTTGTAAATGACCCGGTCTATCCTCAAGCTGTGGATCCTCCCGTTCTCGTCATAGTTTTGGAGGCGGGGTTCCGACACCTCGTGGCAGATCTCCAGCTTGAATTCCCGGAACGGCTTTTCTAGGCCTTGCTCGTAATAGAGCTGCAGGTAACCGCTGTCCGTCAGCTTGATGTAGATTGGTCCCCAGTGCCTAGAGGACATGATGTTTTTCTTCTCGGGGATTCGCAGCATCATTGGCCATCCATCCCTGGGTTGAGAGAGCGCTGAGGCAGGTGAGGGAGCATTCAGTTCAACCGAGGCCGTGGGGTCGTCGTCGGGCAAGGCTGTGTTGTCAACCGGATCAGGATCGTCGATTTGGAGTTGTTTGAGCTTTTCGATAGCGTCAGGGTGGGAGTGCGGTTGGCTGTTCCCTGAATCATCAAAGCTGATGGCGTCCTGGTAGACGACAATCAGAGAATCTCTTTGGCTTTTGCCCGTGGTACTGGAGATGGAACTGTTTTGGGAGCGCCGTTCCTGCTCTTCAAAGAAAGCACTGAACGGGTTGATAGGCGAGGGCTGTATGTCCTGCAGAGTCTCATTCAGGAAAGGATTGGTGGCCCTCCAGGGTGGGGCCTCAATTACAGAAGGTGGATGGTTCAAGGAAGAAATGTCTAGCTTTTGAACTTTGGATAAGTTCATCAACGTGCTCTTGGGACGGTCCCTCTTAAATGACCCAGTTGAGTTGAAAGGTGCATCTGGGATGGCAGTTGCAACAGATGGGGTATTTGGCTTCTTTGGAGAGGGGACTGGAAGCGAAGGGCAGCCGACTTCATTGTCTTCAAAAGTGACCCAGCTGGGGAAACGTGCTGTAGTCACTGGTGGAGCGGCAGGATGCCCATTCATGGCTGGACTGCCTGCCCAACTCATAGCCTCCATTTCTCCTTCTTCATCTTCCTGAAGGGAGGAGGAATTGTCTGAAAGGAAAGGGAAAAGGCATGAGGAGCTGCCCTGGAGGACCTTAGTGTTACAGGAAATTGAAACTGGGGAGGCAAAGATTTCTAGAATTTTACCTAGAACCCTGTGGATTCCCAAGCAGCACATGTCTTGAGTGCATAAAGTCCTTCATTTGTGCACAAGTCTCATGATTTTGCAAGTGACACGCTGGAGGTACCACCACAATAAAGGCAGTAAGAACACAACGGCTTTGTCAAAACAGATACACTGATATGTGAAACAGGCTGTTTCTGCCCGTAGCTCTAAGGTGTGTGTTCTTAATTTATAAACATTGAAATGACTCTCCTAAGTGAAATGATACAAATGGACTCCTTAAAGAATAACTATTTTTCTTTAAAAAAAAAAAACCCTATAGTCTATCCGTCATAACATGATAAGTACTTATCCTTAACATAATTATGGCCTACATGTGATCAATAAGCATGGATGACAGAATGCGAGCACCCTTAATGTGCATGTAATAAGTTCATACACATGAACAGTGGTGAGTGTCGGGACATGGCACAAGAGCAGAGCTGTGCGAGGGAAATTCTGAGTGCCCGGTGAGAAAACTCTAAGAAAACAAGACAAGAGTCTTAGGACCTCTGTTTTCCCAAAACATGGAATGGTTCTTGGGATGCGTATTTGTGCGTCTCCCAGGTGTAGCAGGTAGGAGGGAATTTACTTCAGTTGCTGGCATTCATTTGCATCTATGGAAAAACATATCTCTGCCACATGCTCCGTCTTGTCCTTATATACATCTTGTGATTATATACAGCTTGAACTCATGAGAACTTTACTCATGTGACCTTTCTTAACCCTCAGAGTATAAATTGTCTGATGCTCTGAGTAAACTTGGCTATTTCATGAGACTTTAGTCTGCCTCAGTTTTAGGGTCCGTTCTCTCAGGTCCCACTGCCTTTAGCGCAGTAAACTGGTGAAGTAAGTGTAGTTAAGAACCCAGTGGAATAATCCCGAGCCGTTACAATGTTTACAAGTTTGTAGTAGTATGAGGAAGTGCTCATGATATAATCTCTACTTTTTTTAATTTCCATCTTGCGTTTATGTACTTTATAATTTAAAAGGTTATTACAAATAAAATTCTTCCCTAACAGGGCCTTAAAGGAAGGAAATAAAGGACTTGGGTTTTAATAAGAGAATGATCCAACAAACTTGTGCAGTGTATTAAGTCCCTAAGTGTGTGAAGAAGTTGTGGGAAGGGAGGCAGGCCACAGCTTTTAGCAAATACTCATCGGTTTACTGCCTGAATAAGGGAAGGAGCTTTGATATGGTGTAGCTCTAGTTTTCTAGGTAGGGGTGTGTGTATGTGTGTGTGTGTAGATGTGTGATGCCAGTCATTTGGGATCAACTTGAAACAGGCACAAACAGCTTTGTGACTGTCTCACTAATCCTCCATTCATATCACATCCAACCTCACTGAACTAGCAATGCTGCATACAACTGCACATATAATTACACATGAAAGGGATGGATGGCTAACATGTTATTCATCCTTCTAAGAGATTTATTCAAACTGATAGCAATTTCCTTAATTAAAAGGGTCATTTTGAAAGCCAGGCATGGTAGCATTTACCTGTAACTCCAGTACTAGCAGACTGAGGAAGGAGGAGTGACATACACTTGAGTTTTGCCTGGAGTATATAGAATCAGTCAGTCAGGACCCCAAGGAAAGGTCTTGTCTCAAGGGGGAGGAGGGCAGCATTTTTGAGGCTGAGGAAGGTCTCAGTAACCTGCTTACTTTGCAAGCTCAAATATCTGGGTTCAAATCTCGGAACTCACACTATAAATACATAAATTAAAAGATGAATGGAACTTAGGGACACACACACACACACACACACACACACACACACACTCTTCCCATTTTGAAAAGGCAAGACAACTATGGTATGCATATACACCTATCCAAAGCTGTCCCAGAATACAATGAGCAGAAAGCACTCTCTGTATATGTACACTGCAGGGATGCGCCTCTCCTTCAGATGTGCTTTTGTAGACACAGGATTGGTTTATTTACTGGGGGAAAGGGAGTCGGGAAGACCAACCTCAGTTTACCCTATGCATTTACTAATCACAACTGTTTCTAATGAAGGATTCGGGGAGTACTGTGACTTCCTGCAGGAGACAGTAGCTTCTTTGAAGCTGTCTCCCGACTCACAGGAGTTGCAATGTGGCTGCTCCCTGTGAGACAGCGTCTCCACCCATACAGTCCCTTGCTGGCCGTCTCTGTGCCCAGGGACATCCCTTTTGCCTTGAGCTCATCCTACTCACTGGCTGAAAACAAGCTGAGTCCTGTCCCTCTGGAGGGTGGCTTTCTGCCAAAACTGTTTATATTCTTGCCAAGAGATTCCCTTCTGTTGGAAACCTTGTCCCCAAAATAGTCCTCTTCATCTCCTGAGACAAAAGTTAAAATAAAAAGAGGGGGCGGGGGAAGAAAGGGCTTTTGTCTCTATTGAAGATTATTTTCTTATAATAAAATCTTCTTCAAAACCAAGTTATTTAAAGTTCTAGATGTTAGGAATGAAAACATTAGACTCGATGTGCAGTTTATCTATTTTAGTGCTGAGAAATGAACTCAGGTGCTCATTCATGCTAGACACTCTACCATTGGGCTACATCCCCAGCCCTCAACACACACACACACACACACACACACACACACACACACACACACACAACCTTTTTTAAAGTGACTCAAGAATTCTTACATGAATTCACCTGAGAGAAAAACAAGACAAGTTTGTTACAATGTACAGAGGGGATGTTTACCACGGCAATGTTTAGATGACTGAAAAACTATAAATAATAAACATTTCAACAACAGAAGAACATTCTATAAACTTCTGGATTCTTAAAATGGAATGCCATGTCACCCTTGAAACACTGTTCGCTGCAAGTTTATTCAGATGTAATCATTGATTACAGAAGTAATCATCACAGGCTGTTGAGAGAAAATCAAGACCCTACAATCTGAATTTGAACTGCTTGTGTTTTAATTATGTATCAGGATCTTACTAAGCTATTTAACTTTGGGTACATCTTTAATGTGTGTGTCTCAGTTTTCCATCCATGGATTTGAGAAAATATTAATTCCTACCTGATAGGCCAAGAGCATTAGCAGTTGGTGGCTACTCTTCCATTACTAACAGAAGAATATTTTTCACTTAAAAAGTAACTATGTGTCTGAAAATATCAGGTAGGGTTTCATAACCCTTTGAAGGCAAATGTCTCATGGAGTAAAAGCAAGATTAAAAAAGAACAAAAAACTCAAAACAACAATGTATAATGCTTACATAAAAACTTGATGAGATGGCTCATCAAGTAATGTGTCTGCCACACAAGTGTGGTCAGGGACCTGAGTTCAGACTCTGAGAGCCCAAGTTCAGTAGCGTGTGCCTGTGATGCCGGTGCTCCCAGGGCAAGATGGGGGTGGCAGTCAGACTGTGGACCTTACAGAGAGGACACAGCCTTGCCATAGTCTGTGTTGAACAAGCCACAGTTAGTTTTTTTTCCCTCAGTCTAAAATAGGCAAAAGCTAATATATTCTTGGATAGGAGTTTAACTATCACCCACAATTTCATTTATTTAAGAAAAAATTGAGCATTTGGTTTAATTACTCTCCCACTAGCTACCTCAAAATTGCTTCTGGTGTGATAGGATTTGAGTGACAGCTAAAGCAGGACCACATTTAAAGACTTATTCCCAATCTGTATAAACTTCAGGAGGATTGCTAAGGTCCCAGAAGTTTCTAATATCTTTACTGATACCAACTAATGGGAAGCGGTGAATTCTTTCAAGGTTAAGATTATACAAAATAAACTGACCTACTGATGACCAAGCTGACGGCCTATGGAGAGAGCAGGGAATTAACAGTCGTTACATTTGGAACATGGCAGACACCTTGTCACCCCCAATTGTTAACCTAATTCATGCAGAAAACCTATTTGTAGTATGTCCACTTAATTTGCTGGGAGAGACAGGAGCCAGTTCTGCTGCAGGTTTCTCAACATGAAAGACAATCACAGTTTTGTAAGAGAGCATCCTTAACCTGCCTCTGGTAAACACTAGGCTATATAGCAAAATATGACTATGACATATATATATATGCATGAAGCAATCTGTGATATGAAAAGAGGGACAACTTAACCCCTTTATTTTGCTGAGAAGACCACGGTTTGGTGGTTTGAAGAAAACTGCCCAGGGTCTAAAGAGACGGCTCAGCGGTTAAAAGTTCAGATCCTGCCAGCCACAAAGCAGCTCACAACCACATGTAACTCCAGCTCCAGGGGTTCTAATACTCTCTCCTTGCTGCAGGTCCTGCATTTGTGTGGTGCATATGCATCTGTGCAGACAAATCATGTATACATATAAAAAAATCTTAAGAAAAGACTGTCTTATCAATGAGATTAGAAGCCATCTTGCTTTAAATTTTCATTAGTCATTATTTCCTTAGTGCTTGTTCTGTAAAACCTGATTAGCTTTCTCCATTTCAGACTGGCAAGAATTATACTGACATAAACTTAGGGGCTTTGTCCAATTTGGGAGAAAGATGGTAATCAAACAAAGGCTGACATCTCTCATTCAGAAGTCTCTGGGCAGAATGTCACCCCGTATCACCCCAAAGGTATGAAGGTAGAAGGGCAAAAGAGTTTAAATGAACTTTCCAAAAGAGCTTCTAACTTTATAAAGTATAATGAGATTATTCAACTCCATGATAAATGTGGGCCAGATGTGAATCTTTTTGCCTGTCCTAAGTTCTGTCCAAGATGGAGGATGCTCTCATGCTGCTAAAGATACCTGGCCAGACATTTTCTGAAAGCAGGAAGCAGATGTGTTAATGTACCACTCAGCGCTTAGTTAACAGACCGTGCATCAAGACAATCCATGGTGTTTACCAAGATCTTCTTCAAATGATGGGCACAGCTTTCCTGTCAATTTCTCTCTCTGTTTGTTAAGACTG